ACCTCTTCCCACTCTAACTGCTCGAGGGGCTGTGGTGTGTAGCAGGCAGAGCCCCACTGCCCCAGGCAGGTGCTGTGCACACTCCTGCCACTGCCGAGCCAAGGGAAACACAAACATCCTACCCAAAGAAAGCACTTTTCATCGACAACACAGTTCCCATTTTTGCACAGGGCCAGTCTGTTCTCGGCAGCCTTCCCTGCTACGCTGAGCCAAAGCCCTACCGAGATTTCCGGGCTGGGACTCAGCCAGAGCCAACCTTCCCAGCCCAAAACCAGCAGAGGGAATGCCTTAGGGGCTGGGGGGGGACTTCAGTTGACCCCATGGGAGATGCTAGAGGGCTGGGGGACCTGGTGGATGAGAGACTGAGGGATATAGGACCTGGAGGATGCAGGATCCAGGAGATTTGGGACCTTGGGATGTGGGACTTGGAGGATGCAGGATTCCAGATCTCTAGGATTTGGTCAGGAGGACCTTTGTCCAGACCCAGCTGTTCCAGCAAAGCAGATCCCGTGCCCCCCTATGCCTGGAAGAAGCTATCAGAGGGAAATTCCTCTTCCGTGGAGTGGCGTACCTTGTGAAACAAGGTGTACCTTGTGAAACAAGGCAACAAAAATAGCTCTTAAAAAAAACAAACAAAACAAAACAAAACAAAAAAACACCTAAAAAAGCACATAACTTTGGCCTGAAGTTTGGGAAGAGATGAGAAGACAGGAAAATCGAGGTGAGGAAGAGAAGACGAACAGGGACAGCAGGGCACTGGGACACACATCCTTTGGGATTGGCTGCGGGGACCGAAGCATCACCGAGAGCAGCACCCCGCACCTGCGGCACCCGGCGGCGATGTCGGCCCCAGAGACCCGATCCCATGGGGGCGAAGGCGAGGCCGAGAACAAAGCGGCCTTTCACTGCCACTGGGCAAACACAGCCAGGAATATTCCTGCCGGAGCGCTTCCAGCTGCGCGGGGCTTTGATCGTGGGGCTGGGGCTGTTTTCTTCTCCCGCTGTGTCACACTTATTTTTTTTTTTCTTCCTCCTTCAAGGCGTAATTTTCCTTCACGCTTGTAATTTCTAAGAGGAATTTCTCACAGCTGGGATCAGAGCCAGATCCCCCATGGGGGCTGTGGGCACTCAAAGCCCACGGGGCTGTGCAGCGCCTTCGCCCCAAAGGCTCCGACTGCCGTCACCCCAAACCCACCCATACCCATACAACGGGGTGCATATGGGACCCCCCACCCCTGCAGGGCGAAGCCCTCTGCCCACATCCCGAATATTTTCCGGCAGGAAGCACGGCCTCACTGCTGCCAGTGGGAATGGGAGGGGACGTGGAGAAAGAGAGTCAGCGTCTGGAGTGAGCCGGCAGCTGAGGATCAACCTCCTCCTCCTCCTCCTCCTCCTCGTCCTCGTCCTCCTCCTCCTCGTCCTCCTCCTGGCCCGGCGGATGTTGGCTTTGGATGGAACCCTCTTGCAGCTGCTGAAAAAATGCGCAGGGCCCAGAAAGCATCCAGGGGCTTTTCCCCAAAGGAGAAGGTTGGTGCTTCTGGAGCACGGGGTGCTCCTCACCAGGTGATGTTCCCCTCGGAGGAGTGAGTGGCTCCTTCCTACACTAGGCTGATAGAAGAGTAAGGATGGATGCCAGCACCCATCATATCCACACCTATCTCACAGTGAGAGCGGAGGCAGGGCTGTGGTTCAGGGCCTGGTCCTACTGACATCCCTAGGAGCAATCAGACCCCAAAGCGGACTCCAAACCCCCACCAGCAGCAGGGATGTCCCACGGCTGAGCTCAGCAGGAGGAGGCTCAGGGCAGCTGCTGACAGACGCAGCTCAGGGATTAATGAGCAGAGAGATGTGAAAACGGGGCTGTCACCAGGGCTGATGGCAGCAGGGTGGATCTGAGCCCATTATCTCTACCTTTCACACAGTTTCATCCCTTTGCCAGCTCAGAGCAGCCCATCGTGGCTGCCCAGGCTGCGAGCACAGCACAGCAGCACAAAGTAAAGTGCGAGATGCAGCGAGCACCAAATCCCGAGGGCAGCCCCAGCTCACAGCTTCCCATCAACCGCAGCCTCAGGGCAATACGGGCACTGGGGTGGAGCTGATCCCTGAGAAATTCAGGTGGAAAATACCACATTCCTGTTTCCTTTACAGTCCCGGCTCCATGTGGCAGCAGCGAGCTCTGTCACCCCAGCAGTGTCACCAGGCCCCTGGGAGCGGTTCGTGCCCACCACCAGGTGACCGCTTCATTGACAGCGAACCACGCTGAGAACCGACTGAGCCCTCGTTGGCTGATTGCTAATTAGCTTAACATTCTTAATCCTTCATTAGCGACTTCGAAGTAAGCTCTGGAATATGAGGTCAGCCCTAATCAGTGTTTCAAATCCAAAGCCCGCCGGCACGGGATGAAGGTGGGGGCAGCTGTGGGCAGCCCTGGGGGTTTCCAGGGCTGGGAACGTGAGGACGTGCCTGAGCCCCGTCCCCATCCACCCTCACCACTACAGAGATGGCACTGGGGGCAGCCAGCTGTCACAGCCCTCACTGACAGCATTTGGCTCCATTGGGTCAAGCCAACTCAGCCCAACACGGCCCGACTCAATGTAAGCCCTGTGCCACGGCACACACAGCTCTGCAGGGGGAGGAAATAAAGAGAGCAACACAGCTTTGAATTTATGTAAAAAAAAAAAATTTATTTTGGAGGAGGATTTGAACATCGACATGCAGGTACAACATGGATAAAAATTATTGCACCGCTATTATGTGGCAATTGTTCAAGTTTCTAAGAACACAGAGATTCCACACTTCCTCTTATCTAAGTGCTGAACGAGGCGGCGCGGCGGGGCCCACCTGGGGTGCTCCCACGGCCACCTGATATGGTACCGACACAACGCACACTGCTGTGCAACCTCCCACCAGAAGTACAGCATTATCCTTCAAGGCCAGCAAGAGAAAACCAAAGAAAGGCTTTATCTTCCCCTCTACGGAACAAAAGGATAAAATACTTCAAATCACACCTTAATGCAAAAGTGTGGCAGCCAAACCACGGTCATCCCACTCTGTCCCGCAGCGATACGAGCAGCCAAAGGCCTCCAACATTCAGACCCAGGAGTGGCCGTGACAATGCTAACGTCTAATATTTACAATAAATACCATCCATTCCTCTTAGCTTGCAACAGTCAGAGACAAAGGGAAGAGTAACACTGACGTGCCGATGGGGAGCAGCTCCTGCGCTGCAACCCCACAGTCAGCAAGGCAGGAAACGCCCAAACCCACCAAACAAATGGGAAAATTAACCAGGAAACGTCAGGTCTCGTGGCTGCCCGCAGGGCTCGGACAGCACACAGCGCTCACACAGCGCTCACACAGCGCTCACACTGCCGCCTCCCTCCTGGCCAACCCCCTGCTGCTGCGCATCTCAGGGCACTGCGCCTCTCCTTCCCCCTGCAGCACAAGAATTTTGCAGTCTGAGAAGGTATTTAAACAAGTAGCAAGGAATAAATCTTGCTGTCTCCACTTACTTTTCCATCACAGTTTCAGAGGAAGTATCTTTTTTGCCCAAACATTTGTGCTAAGGTGCCTCGATGTAAACCGGACCAATGCTGCACCGAGGGGAGCTGCAGGGTGGGCAGGGAGCAGGGACCCGGCTGTCACCAGGATGGCTGAGGCTTTTCCATCGCATCGATCACTCCGTACCACAGCCTCAAACAAGGCAGCTACACGCACCCCTCACCTCCTCTTCGGCTGGTTTGGGCTAAAGCAGCAAAAGCTGTGACACCAAAGCGGCCCACTCCTTTTCAGATGCCTAAGGGTAACTGTGCCATCAGGCACTGCAGCTGTGGAATAAAGACAGCAGCAAGCACAGCCAGGGCCAGCCACGGCCACTTCAGAGCTGCTCAGGCTGACACAGCCCAGCAGACGCATTTTTCATCTGCTTTTTCGCCCATTTGAGCTACGTCAGCTCAGGGCCTGGGCTGGGTGCTCGGAACGACCCGAATCACAGAGCTCCCTGGTTGCAATAGTTTGCCTTTCCCTTGTAATCGGTGACCAAGAGCACGCGAGCAGCCCACCACCTCCAGCAAAAAGAGCCAACAGATAGAACAGGCCCTGCTCTCAATACTGTCACAGCAAGATTTATTCACGTGTTACGTGGGAGCTCTGAGGCTTTGGCTAGTGTATTAACAACACCATACATGTTCACACAGACACACAGAGTAAACACTCATTTAAAATGTTTAAAAAAAAAAACAACAAAACTCAAACCAAACCAAAAGTTGGTCCAGAAATGAAATCCAAGCAGCCAAAATTTCATATATGATGGGAAAAATACGGTTATGCAGAAAGAAGCAGGGCGAGATTTCAGAGTTTTGTGGATTGGGCTGAAATCAAGTTGAAAGAGATGGAGAAAATACATTCCCATATAAAAACATATTTACATGTAGGGAAAGTGAATCAAAACTTCAAGCTCAGAAAAGGCCAAGACAAAGAAGAAGGCAGTGCACGATGAAGTCAGACCGCGAGGTGCCG